TCCACATTCACCTCGTCCCATCCCTTCTTCCGCTCTACGACTTTCTTCTCTTTCTTCACGCTCTTCTGGACCTTGTGCTCGAGTTTATCCATGTTATCCACTGCCCTCTCCAGGCCCTTTAGGTGGCGCACGCGTTGTTGGCGTTTTAGGGGTTTGGTTTTGGTTTTCTTGGATATTCCTGCAGGCCGCGCACCGAGGACCGAGGGCGTCGAGGTGGCTTTGGTTTTGGGGGGTGGGGAGTCGCGGGTTGTGGGTTTGAGGGATTTGTCGAGGTTTATGGAGGGGGATACGGCGCGGCGCGCGGCGCGGGAGTGGAGGGTCGTGGCTGGGGGGTGTTAGACGGGGGGGTATATAGAAGGCGAGGGGAGGGCGTACGCTTTTTCTTGATCTTGCCGGTTTTGGCCATTGTGGGTGGTGGTGGTGGTGGTGGTGATAGTGGTGGAGGAAGGAGGGTATTTGCGCAAGAAAGTGAATTTGGAACTTTTGTCTCGAGGACGAAAGGTTGTGCGCAGGAGCTAGTGTTTTTGGGAGAAGTATTCTCACCACCTCCACGGGATGGAGATACAGTAGTGCTTTGTAGGGCTAGCTTGGCCCTTCTGCCCACAGGTCGAATCGCGTGTGGAGTATTCGTCAAAAAATGGATGCCAAGAGTCACAAGAAAGCGGCCCACGGCGGCAGTTGCAGGGGTCTGGCACCGATCGCCGACTTTCCTCCTCCCTCGCAAACATTCGCTCTCCCGCCACCACCCATCGATACTCACATCGTCTTGGATATCTTTCTCATGTCGCAGACAAGACTAGCACTGTCGTGTTTGCTGCCTCCTATGCGCTGGCCCAAAGGTTGAACCACCCCGCCCATATCCCTCCCTCTCCCCGGCACTTTCTCCATACCACCCATCACCGCCGCAGGGTCCCCCTCTAGCGCATACCACGGCACGCCGTGGTGCCCAACCCAGTCTTTCACCGCCTGCCAGAATAGCGTTGACCGAAAAAAGTCTCTAGTTGAAAGCGATGAGCAACCCATATCGTGACGACCGCCGCGCGACATTCGCCTACCCTCAAACCACATTTCTCCCGGACTCTTCTTCGACATCCTTCGGCGCAGTCCTTCTGGCCGTAATCGTCGGCGCATACGTTCTTTTCAAGGCCCTCGGCCTCCTTGGATACCCCGTCTGGCTTTGGCTTCACCAGGCTGCGCAAATGTCCCTCGACAGCTTACCCTCGCTCGGCGAGTCGATGATGGGCCTGTTTGGCGACGACTCGGACTCCGGCGACGACACCATGCAGAACCACGGGGGAGGCATGTTGAGCAGTGTTTTCGGACTCAACAGCGGCAGTCTACTACAGAAGGGTGTTCGAGGCATGACAGGGGCTCTGTCGAAGAATTACCACAATGCGCCGCCCGGCCTGGGCAACTGGGACAACTCCTGCTACCAGAACAGTGTCATACAGGGCATGTCCTCGCTGCCTTCGCTCCGCGAATACCTTTCCAAGACGACCACCGAGTACAGTGCGCTAGGCACCGAGTCCACCAACGGCGCTCTTTTCGAGATGATCAACAAGCTGAATGATCCCGAAAACCGTGGCCAGCACTTCTGGATACGTGGGAAGCTCAAATCAATGAGCACCTTCCAGCAACAGGATGCCCAGGAATACTATTCCAAGATCATGGACGCCTTGGACAAGGAGGTCCAGGATGCAACAAATAGTAAGAGGCGGTCCACTGCATCCTGGCTGTTGACTGCAAAGAGCTTAAGTGACTCACCTGTGATAGCTGCAGATCAAAAAGAGCCGGGAGATGAGCCTCAGACTCCCTCGAACCAGCCGCAGCCGCAGCCGATTCCCAACCCTCTAGACGGACTCCTAGCCCAGCGTGTGGGCTGCATCAGCTGCGGGTACTCCGAAGGACTATCCCTCATTCCATTCAACTGCGTCACCGTCCCCCTAGGAACAGGCTACAATTACGATGTGCGGGAATGCCTTGACGAATACACGAATCTTGAATTCATTGAGGGTGTGGAATGCGCGAAATGCACTGTCATCAAGACGAAAAATACTCTCTCCAAATTAGTCAAAGGACCTGACTCTATATTCGCCTCTCGTCTGCAGGCTGTGGAAGAAGCGCTCGAGGAGGAGGACTTCGATGATAAGACACTCATCAAGAAATGCGGAGTCGCAAAGAAGAATTGGGTCCAGAGCACGAAATCCCGCCAAGCCGTCATCGCGCGAGCGCCCAAATCACTCGTCCTCCATGTTAATAGGAGCATATTCAATGAGATGACTGGTGCACAGTACAAAAATCACGCTCCCGTTTCATATCCCAAGGTCCTAGATCTAGCCACTTGGTGCCTAGGTAGCCGACCCTCGCAATCTCAAAAGGTCGATGAGTCTGTCGAAGAGTGGCCGAGAGATCCCAAGAAGTCCATGCTCGGAGATGCGAATGTCATGCCGACGACAGATTCACCTTTTCAATACACGTTGCGAGCTGCGGTAACGCATTTTGGTAGTCATGGAAATGGCCACTACATTTGCTATCGAAATCAACCTTTCCCGGACAAGAAGTCCACCTCGTCAGACTCAGAAGAGCCAGAGGTATCAGAAGAAGATGCTGATACTGAGAAGTGGTGGAGGTTCAGTGACGAGAATGTATCTTCCATATCGGAAGAGGCGGCACTGCGCCAAGGAGGAGTCTTCATGCTGTTCTACGAGCGTGTTGATGCCGACTCAAATCCGTTACTACCATCAAAGATTGGTTTAGCCGAGGCGAATACATCCTTTGTCTCGGAAACCATCCCTCTTCCGCCTCAGGAGCTCCGATCGTCAGACCTAGACGCCATGATCATCGGCCACGCGGCTGTAGATATCCCTCTTCCGGAAGACGACGAGGATATCTTCCCGCTCTCTCCTCCAGAATCACCTATTCTTCCACCAACTGCCACTTACCCTTGTCTCAATGTCTCCGAACATAATTCGGATGACGAAGGCATGCCTGACTTGGTAGACGCCAGCACAACCACAATAGACACCTTCGCATATCCCACACCGCCACCAGACTCACCGCGCACAGTTCTACAGGAAGACACCGAGATGTCGGGAGATGACTCCGATGATGCGCCCTCAACCCAACTGACTTCTGACGACGATGCCGACGGGCAGTCTGACAATTCGCTACTCAAGGATTTCTCAAACATCCAATTGCTGCACAGTTCCCCACCAAGCCCTCATTGGATGAGAACCGCAGGAGATACCCCAGGGAGGGGTGAAGGTAGTAGGGCCAGCTTGCCTATGGTTACCGCGACGTAGCATGTAGCTTTCCTTTGGGGGTTGGGTGTGCGTAGCGTAGCATAGCCTCGGCGTTTGGGGATTGATGTGAATATTTTTGCGACAGACTAAATGGCGCTCGGTGCCATATACCTGCTGCCCTCGCTATATGGGTCAGGTGGGCGTTAGGCTTATGAATTTGAGCAGTATAGCTGTTTCGTTAGGGGCTATGGCATGGTCTGGACGGCCAGTATAATTAGAAGATCCCGACGGGCACATGGGTTGGGAATATGATTGTGTATTATTGCTGTATGCTATTCCCCCAAGTTTGTTTGCAGCGGATGCTTGAGAAAGCTTACGGTGGTGCGATTCATGTTTCCCTTGCCGACTAATGCAGTCCTAGGAAAAGTCAAATAGATGAACTTAGACATAATGAAGTGTTTCATTAGTTGCTTTGGAACGAAGGTTTCAGGGTCAAGTGCAAAGAGCCGTTTGGGGGATGAAATAACGCTTTAAGTGAGGAAAGAGCGATTCCAAAGGGCTCTCGGGAAGATCAAGTAGGGGTTTGTAGGGCCGAACTTCATGTCCTTGTCTTGTAGATGGAGTTGTGTGTATTTAGTGGCACTAGAACACAGCCCCGACCCCGAAAAGCTAGATCCGCGAGACATTGCACGGTTCGTGGCGCATAGATAGATGAACAGCTTCGTGGTCAAGCAGAGTATCCGACGAAGGAGTTCATATTGGTTCTAGACTGTAGTGAATGACATGCTGCTGAACTGCAGCGCGGATAACTGAAGCTAGCCCCCGTAAGCACACACTGGCCACACGCTGACCACATGGTTTCTCCGAGGATAAGTTGATCGAAGGTTCAGGGTGCATCAAGAAAGACGTGGATAAGTACTCGAACGAGACATACGGACCTGTGAGAAGGGAAGAATGGAGATAAGATAACCCTTATATTTACGTAGACTGCGATTGGCGGCTTCGCGCTCGAGAAGGGAAGATGGAGGCGTGTTTCACTGGGTACTAGAGGAGCTATGCGGGGAGCTTTCGGGGAGGAAGATGATGATGAAGCAGGTTTGGGTTGGGAAGGGGGTGGGGAAAGGGGATTATAGAAGAGGAACATGTAGTCAAGTCTTCCTCCAGTTATCATCTCGAGCTCTCAGCGAGCAAGCACGCTATGGACGCAGCGCAAAATTCCTCGCAACTCCCAACAGAGGCATTAGAATATAGTGCAGAGGCCTCTTTTCTTCTACTCTTCTACTCTCCAATCCAAAACGCTTTTTCCATGTTTCCTCTTGAGTTGTTTACTCGGAAAGTGAGCAATGATGATGGGGAGAGGAGGACATCTCACAAGGTATCTGGACTGGACACTTGGAAGTCGGATTTAGCAAAAAAAAAAAAAAAGAAACTGAGTTGTAGTATCATCTTCCCTTCGTTCTTCGGATATGGGGAATGAAGTACAGGAATCCAAGCCTTGAAACCTTCCAAGCCAGTCCTCACAAAGTTTCTTGTGGGTGTGGCACACTTGAATAAAATAAAAATTTCCCCTTCGCACCCAATTCATAAGCTCCACTTTGCCCCACCGTACTAGTGCCGCCCCGCCTCCTCCCACAAACTTTCGAATCTCATTTTTCTCCTTTTTTTGACGCTGCCACAGGGCCTCGGTTTGCTTTCTTTCATGGCGACAACTGTATATAAAGAAGTTTGTGATTCGAAATCTCCATAATTCAAAACATCGGGCCTGTGGCCAAATGGCAAGGCGCCTGACTACGATCATTCCGATCAGCAATCAGGAGATTCTAGGTTCGATCCCTAGCAGGCTCGTTATCTTTTTGGTTTTTTTGTGCTTCATTATATATGAATTTTGTTTTGGTTTTTTTGGGGGGGGAGGGGAAGGGGGGTGCGTTGGGATGGGTGTGTGGGTTTGGCGGGGAATAGGGACGAACGACAAGAAGGGAACATTTTATATTGTGTGCAGGACGTGCAGGACACGTCCATCTTCTTGGTTTATTTATTTATTTTTTTCTTTATCCTTATTCTCAAGGCTTGATCCCCATTAAGATGCTATTCAGCAGTTCGCTCAGGAGAAGGATCTCAGTCATCACAAAACACTCACTGTTGCTAACTAAGTAGGATATCCTACAAAACAATCCAGTCAGCTGCAGCAATTAGTATTAGCGTCCAATCTTCCGTTCGAGAGGTAGAATTATTTGGTTTTCTAGCCAGTGTATGATGCTGTGCTGAAAAGAAGACTCGAAACAATGTCTGGCATAGTCAGTCATGAACTCGTTTCCAAACAACGTCCTTCACTGCCTAGTAGGTAAGCGTATCTACAAAGCCTTCGAAATGTGATGTATTTATTACAAGGAGCGAGCTATTTCTCGGCCTTGAAAATGTACCTACGCTGACAATACTGTCTCGCTCCCGTTTAAAACAACTCGAAAGGTAATTTACCAAGGGGCCAAAGCTAGAAGAGTACTACTCTCTTTAGAATTCATTCATTAACAAATCAAGTTCCGCAACACAAAATAGTAAAGGGGACTACCATATCTAAAGACCCCTAAACCAGGGGCCAGTTCTTTGATAGCAACGCTATAACATCCACACCCCATTTCTATTCCCCTTGCCATTCGCCTTGCCGCTCCCTCTGCCGTTGCTTTCGGGCGCGGGAGGCAGCGTGTGCCAAATCATGCCATCGTACTCATACGGATCCTCGGGTTTCGGCGGCGGCGGGACGAACGGCTTCGACGGACCGGCGACGGTAGGCGGGATCCAGGACTCCTTCTCCTTCCCCTTTGCATGGCCCCTGGATGCAGCTTGGATAGGAGGACCCTGCACGGCTTGGCCCCGGGCGCGAGAGGCATCGGATACAGACTCCGGGGCCCCATGGATCCTCTCTTTCCCATCCCCCTTCACCTTGCTGCCCTTGAATCCACCTTCGTCACTGACCTGCACGATAATATTTCTCCGACTACATGCGGCGTTCACGGCCTCTTCTTCGCCGAATACTCGCTCCCTTCCTTCCTGGATCGCGGCCTGCATCACTTTGATAGCCTCGTCCTCCGTCCTGTTCTCCTTGCCCCTTGCGAGCCCCTCCCTCAGTCGCGCCATCTGTTCCTTTGTCTCGCGCAGCTCTGCTCCCGCTCTCGCTCTCGCCTCGACCCGTGATAACGACGAGGGGACTTCTAACCCTTGCCAGGTTTCTGCCTGGATCGGCATAGGGGTCGTGTGGAGTTGGGTGCGGGCCCACTTCCTGCTGGGGAGGGAATCATGAGGATCAGATGGGTTGGGGGGGTTGGGTACTGTGGGTCTGGAGGAAGACGGCTGTTTTGGCAGGATAGTTGCGGATCTGGACGGGGGCTCGGGCATTTCAGGCGGCTGCGTGTGTATATCTCGTCGGTTTTTATTTGCAGTTTCCGGAGGTGGAGCAAGGGAGTGTTTCATTCTTCTGCTCCCACTCCTCCCACAGTCCGTTCTCATTCCTTTCTGAGACTCATGTTTGTGTGTAAGCGGATCCGCATATCCCCCCACCATCGTAGGGCTCGGCACTGACCGAAACGCAATCTCGCAGAACCTGACACGCTTCCCCGACCCACTACTAGAAAAACGTGACATGCAGCTGCGCGGTGCTTTGGGGGATGGCGATGGAGATGGATCGGACCAATGCGAGAAACGCGAGATGCGCGGAGGGTATGGGGAGAGGGGTGGGAGATCGGGGCTGCCGCCGCCGCCTCTGAGACGAGGGATCTCTGGGTCCTCGTCGCTGTTGCTGTTGCTGTTGCTGGGACTGATGTTTGAGCTTCGAGGCCCATGGGGTGGAGCAGGAGAGATGCATGAATCTCTACTCGATATACTGGAAGATCCGTGCTGCTGTTCCTCCTGAAACGGAGCATAGCAGAATGTACAGTTCGTGCGGGTCGGGTCCACGAACCCAGACCACGTCTCGCAGCCCTCGCCTTTGCCATGGCGCCACTCGTCTTTCAGGCCGACATCCCCAGGAGGAGAAGTGGCCTCAAGTGGTGCAGTTTGTTCTGCCACGGGAGAACAGGGCGCGGCGCGGGTCCCATCCGGCGGCTGTTCATAGTCGAAGTTCGCGGAGCGGTCGAGCTCAGGGACGGTTCCGTCTTCAGGGGGATGCACGACTTTCCAGGCAGTTGACATAGGGGAATCCACCAGCGGAGGGGTGTGAGAGATAAGGGATGGGGAGGGTGGGGTAGCCTCTGAGGCGCCGCCGCGTAGATGCACGATCCCAGTGTGATAGGGTTCGTTGTACTCGTCACTCCGAGCTGCTTTGAGTGTATCCGGCTCGTTGTTTTCCGAAGCTCCGGAGGTCGAAGACTCCTCCTCAGACTGGGCATCAAGCTCACGGATCAGATCCCCAATCTCGGAATAGCCGTACTCGCTGTTCCGTGGAGAAAGATGCGAGCGATCCCCGCTTGTCAAGCCGCTCCTCTGTGTCCGCTCCCTGGCCTCTTTCAGCTTCCTCTCCCCCTCGACATACGTATCCCAACTTTCCCCCATTCTCTGTTCCCAGAACGGCGCTTCCTCTTCCCCATCCTCTACGCTCTCGGGCAGATTAATCAACACCATACGGCCGTCACTTAAATCTGGATCCGGGATCCCCATTTTATCTCTGAGTTCGAGGATCTCGCGGACACGGACCATGTTTGCATCGTCTTCTATTCCTGTAGCTCGTCTGAGTTGGAGGATTTGCCGTAGTTGGACCAGCGTAGTGTGCCGCGGATATTCGAAGTAGGTGAGTGGGGATGTAAGAAGCACGACGGTGGACACGCTAGGGAAGAAATAGAAGCCGGTGGCGGAGATGTCGTGCGTGCTAGGCTCATTGTAGATCGAGGATTGGGGAGTCGGTTTGGGAGTGTTCTTAGTGTCATTCTGTCCGTCGCCAAGTTGGCTGGTTTGTTGTGCTGCAGCATTGGAGTTGTATTCTTCTTTCAGAGCCGCATATACCTCGTCAAAAGACTTGTTCTGTTCCCGTGCTCTCTTGCCAATTTCTTTCACTGCTACACTGTACAGATGATACGGATTCCGCATCCTCGTCTCATTCGTCTTGGCCGCTTCCGCATAATCTTTTCGGAGGTTCTCGAGCTCGTACTGTAGATAGTTTACTTTGCGTTGTAGAGCATGCGCTTCCTGCATCCAGGACATGTTCTCCTTGTGGGTAGGGAGCGGGAAGTGCGTTGCTAGGTATTCCGTCCGCATTTCCTCCAGTGTTTTCGGGGTCCAGGAGTTAGCATCCTGGTTGGATTCGTTCTGTGGAGCAGGGAATCTAGCGTCGGTATGGGCGATTGATGTGACTGGCACAGAGTGAGTACCGTAGGGATCGCTCTCTTCCGTTCCTGCTCCACCTCTTAGATGCGGTCTCTCACCCAACCCACCCCCTTCCTCCTCTTCTTCTTCTTCGTTGGCCCACCGTCGCTCGTTTTCCTCGAAGAGCTCTGCATAGCGATCGTCGCTTTGGGAGGGGTTAGTAGTAAGAGGAGGAGGCGGGTATGAGGTTTCGAGGATGCTGGGAGTGTTGAGAGATGATGGGCTGCGGGGATTGGCGTAGGAGGAGGAGTGAGGTGTCGAGGTCGTACTTCCTACTTGGACGATCGTTGAAGGAGTCTTCTGTGTGGTGCGCGGAAGCTCAAAGATGTTGCTTTTCTCTTCCTCGGATTCGGTGTCGCTGTGGCTCGACTCACGTCCGCTGCCCCGTGTACTCGATATCGTCTTATCTTCCTCATAAACAGTCGGCAAGCCCTTGAGCTCCACAGTCCGTATCGCCCGAGTTTCACGACTTCCCACCCCATTTCCCGTTGCTGGCTGAGTTTGAAGATATTCGGTTAGGCGGCGGAGCTCTTGGATATCCATCCGCTCTAGCTCATTTCCACTGGTAAGCCCCTTGTATTCGTCCTCGCCATAGAGGCACAGACCAGCCGCAAGCTCCCCCAGTCTATCCATGTCTCTGTCTCCACCCAACTCTCTCTCATACCTCTCGTATCCTTCCACCTCCCGCCGCTCACTCTCGTCTAACCACCTCACCCACCCCTCCACCCCGACTTCCTCGACATCCTGCAGCGTGTCTAGGATCTGCATGGCCCATGCAAGCATCTCTTCGTCGTCGCTGTCTAGCAGCTCCGCCTGAATGTTGTGACGTAGAGAAGAAATATAGGAGTTGGTTCTCTTGACGCGGTCGAGAGCTGCTTCGGAGAGGACGGAAGGGTGGATGGTGTCGAGGTGGGGGAGGAGTTGCGCGTAGGCGTGTGGTAGATCAGACATTGTGATGTGCGACGTTGGGCGCTGGATTTGGTAGTGTGAGTGTGCTGCGCACGTGGGTATTGAAGTGGATGCTGGGTATGGACAGTAGGAGTATGTCGCGCACGCAGGTATGGAAGTGGATATTAGATAATTGGGCAAGTATGAATGAAGAGGAAGGATATATGACGATGAAGACAAAGAATAGATGGCTAAAGATGAAGGTCAGATACCGAACTCGCCGTCCTTGAAGAAAATGTCCTGTGCGCACAATGAAGAAACAAGAGCACTGGCTTTTATATACGGGTATAAAGTACGTAGGGAAGCCAACGCAGATGTGAAGAGAAGGAATGTGAAGCATGTCAGTATCGAACGTGGAGTTCATGTGTTGATTATCGTGGTGCCCTCGTGCGTGAAGTCAGAAGCAGACAAAATGCCGGGATTGCATATGAATGTGACGATGTACACGTACAGTGAAGTAGACAGGTCTTGTAGCAACGAACATTGAAATGGTCAAGGAGGCAATCAGAATTTCCTGCAAACGCTGGTCAATCGCACGACATGCTTCA